TTTGAAGCGCATTTTCAGGATTTAGCGCATGAATTGGCAGGTGAGGTTTGAGCTACAGTGTACTTGGAGGGTCTACTACCCAACTACATCAAAATCCGAGAAGGGTCCATTTTACCTGTCCACTGTCTTTGAGCTCACTGAGTTTGTATTTTCTTCTGGTTGATATATACATTATGAGCAGAATCGCCAACTGTCAAGAACTATATCTTGTTATAATAGCATTCGATCAACGGCACTTTGTTTGTTTTCATAAGATGAGAACAAAGAAAGAGCATTACTCACCCACCCATTGTTTCCTTTGATGAATGGCTATTTTGGTGCGAACAAAAATTGCCTGAGCAAACTCAGATAAATGTCAGATTACTTGAGCCCCTCAGAGAAAATTATTCTACTTAATTACAGCAGACACTCTAAATGATAAAGAGAAAGAATTGAAGTACGAAGTGGTGAAATCTCATATGCTTCGATAGAGACAAGCTTCCTGAATATCAAGATCAAAGAATTGCACTAGTTTCAAATGACTGTTTGAATAAACTTTGAAGGTTAGGTTCAAAAGAATGATCAAATACCAAAAAACCCTATTGTTCAAAATTATTTATAAAGGGTTTACCAAACAAAGGCGATACACAACTTCCTGCGAAGTCATGGCAATTGCTGTGTTTTCCGTAGTAGTAGGTTTTCCGTTCTACGTCTTTTGCAATAATTTTCTACATTCTAAATTGTCTTGTCAGAGTATTAAACCATCAGACTCTTACACTATCTTAATGGCCCTCCTGCTCATTGCTTCCTCATTCAGATTCTCAGCTTGTTCATCGGTGGCTCGTTGGAGGCCTCCAGGGAGCCGCTGCCATGGGAATTATGGACGACTCGTAAAACGACGGCATACCAACCACAGACAAAACCTTCCGGTACTCGGAGACCACCCCATAACTGGGACTGGATGGTGTCGACAAAACCGCCAGCAACAGTGAGACCACCCCATAACTGGGACTGGATGCTGTCGACTGCTGCTCCATCGGGACCACGAACGTTCGCTACCGTGAGGCCACCGAGGTACACTGCTTATGATGTGAAAACGCCGCAGTGGACTACGAGATTACCCTGGACATTTGCGCCAAGAACAACTGGTACGATGAGACCACCAAGGTACACTACTCCTGCTGAAGTGGAGACCACTACGGAAGCGGAACCGGAGGGTCCTTTCCACTCAGGATGCACGGGGCAAATCCCAGACGAGTGGAGAGA